TATATCGCAAAATGATAAAACGATTTTATATGGACAAAGCATATCCATTAAGTTCACCAATGATTGTAAGGTCATTAGATGTAAAAAAGAACTTTTTTAATCTCGTGAGGATAATGAAGAACTTTTTCGTCCTGAAGTCTGTATGTTATTGCAATTGGAGCACTAATGTATCTTGCTAGCAATGCAAGACTTGATATATCAATTACTGTGAATTTATTAGCAAGATATAGTTCTTCTCCAACTAGAAGACATTGAAATTGAATTAAATATATACTTCGATATCTCCAAGGAACAATGGATACGAAATTATATTATTCAAATGCTTCAAAATAAATTTTAATTAGTTATGCAGATGCAAAATATTCATCTGATCCACACAAAGCTCGATCCTAGATAAGTTACTTGTTCACATATGGAGAAATTTTAGCAACTCGTGAGCAAATCGTAAATGTGTCTGGTTAAGATTTGTAACTCGACATATTCAAGAAATGTGTGGCTTGTCAACCAAGAAGAAAATTCTAACAACGTTATTTGAGAATAATATTGCTTGCACAGCACAATTAAAGGAAAGATATATTAAAGGCGATCGAACAAAACACACAGTTCGCCAAAATCCTTCTTCACTCATGATCTCTAAGAAAAGGGTGAAATAAGTATTCAACATATTCAATTAAGTAACAACCTAGCAGATTTGTTCACTAAAACCTTTTTTACTACAACATTTGAAAAGTTAGAATGCTTCATTTTAAATATCTCTATAATGTAGTTATTAAGAGAGTAAAATACGCACTGTACTCTTTTTCCCTTCATCAAGTTTTTTCCCACTGAGTTTTTCTTGATAAGGTTTTTAATGAGGCAGTATTTTAAAAGCGTATTCTTAAAAAGATTATGTACTCTTTTTTCTTCACTTGGATTTTTTCCCATGAAATTTTTTCCTAGTAAAGTTTTAACGAGACATATTCTTAATACAATGGATATTCAATGGGGAATGTTATGAATATTTTTGTGAATATCCATTTATGTTATCTATATCCAAATTTGATGTAAATCAGATCCTAATCTCTAAGTGTTATCTTTATCTTGTAAAGGGGTTATTCGCCTATAAATAGGCCCATTCTAGTTCATTTGTATACACACTTCAATAAGATTTCTTCTCTCCTGCTAAATACTTTTTTTCTTTTAAATACTCTCTCTTATATTTCACTTATAGTTGTTCTTTTAGATTTATTTTATAATAATTATTTATATAATAATAGTCTTAAAAGAATATTTAAAGAAATGCTATTGTGTTAAAAAAATTACTTTCGAATAAGCGTAAAAATCTAAATATTTGATTATATATATGTTTTATACTAACAATTAGATTCGAGTCTCTCTTTTGTCTTTCTTATAATGTGTAATAATTTTTTTTCATTTCAAAAGTGATTACTTTATTTATTTATTCAAACTTATTTGGACTTGAAACTTAAATTCATTAAAAAAAAATTTTTATCATACATTGAATTATGACTGCAAAAGGTATTCCGTCGATGAATAAGGGCATTTAGGGTTTTATATTTGATATGAATCGAGCATTTATCTATAATTTATAATCTATATATATATATATTGAAAAAAGTTTTAATTAATGAAAACAAATATATTTATTCATTATATTTATTAATTATTATTTTAAAATATTTTTATTCTAAATATTAATAAAATTTATTTGATTTGTAAATAAGTGTATAATTGTGTTAAGTAATTTTCATAAAAAAATATTTTGATTAATTCCAATATTATTAGAAAAATTCATTGATCAATATTACAATATATTAATTATTTATAATATCAACTTTTACACTTTAAAATTTTTTATATTTATACATAATTATTATTTGAAAAAATTACTTTTCCATTATAATGTACGTGACAACAAATACTATTTTTCTGAAAAAAAGAGGGGGATGGATTTGATTTAAAAAGAAGACCTTTATTTTGAGAAAAGTGTATATATTGAGCCCACTTTAAAATCCAATGGGCCAATTCTACCGAGCCATATCCATTGACTTGCTCATGAAGGTTGAACTGGGCTAAGCCCAACATCTCTTTTCCAAATCCTGATGGGCTTGGACTGTGGCTCTGAACATTTTACATCATAGGCAGCCAATGGGCTTAAGACGTAGTGTTCATGAGGCAGAGAGAGAGCAATGGACGGAGGAAGAAGCCTTAAAGCAGATGATGTCATTTCAACTTTCATGTGGATTTGTGTTTCAATGATTGTCGTGTCATCTTGTAGGAGTTGAACAAAGGTTTATCAAACTTTTCAGCTTGGCCTGAACAAAGGTGCCATATGGGTGAGGCTAATTCCAGTTCTGGATAATCATATTTTAAGAAAATATCCGGATCTTTATACATATTTATTAACATTACATTTTAAAATTATTTTTTAATTTTGACCTCAATTTCCCCAACACTTTTTAAAATTTTGAAATTTTCACAAGAGTTATTTGTCACCGACTCGTAATTCTAATCCAACATATTTATTAAGTGAAGAAAAATAATTATTTATAAATTCAAAATTCATTTTATTTTTTATTAACGTGAAATTTATGATATTTTATCTTATTCAATTGTGCATCATCAAAAGATCCACTTTATTCTAATCCTATCTTGATCACGGTATCACTCATTAGCAAGGTAGATTAATTCTTTATTCAGTTGTGCATTGTCAGAGGATTCACCTTAGTTTGACTCTATCTTAATCGTGCTATCTCTAATGAGAAGTCTTGAGTTAGATAAGTTCGTTATTCAATCTGAGTAAAAAAAAAAATTCTTTATTCAATCATGAAGTGATGAGTTAAATAAATTTTTTATTCAATTGTGCATTCGCCAGAGGATTCGCCTTGGTTTGACCTTATTTCAATTGTGGTATCTCTCATGAAAAGCTCGAGTTAGATAAATTCTTTATTCAATTATGCATTCACCAAGGATTCACCTTGATCTGACCTTATCTCGAGCGTGCTATTTCTCATGAGAAGTCTCATGTTAAATAAGTTCTTTATTGAATCATAAAGTGTTAGATAAGATTTTTATTCAATTGTGTTTTCACCAAAAGATCTACCTTGGTTTGATCGTATCTCGATCACATCTCGATCGTGATATGTCTCATAAGAGGTTTAGAGTTAGATAAGTTCTTTTATTCAATTGTGCATTCGCCAGAGGATCTGCCTTGGTCTGACCCTATCTCGATCATGATATTTTTCATAAGAAGATAAGTTCTTTATTCAATTGTGCATTCACCAACAGATCCATCTGGGTCTAATGTTATTGCGATTGTGGTATCTCTCATGAGAAATCTCGAATTAGATAAGTTTTTTATTTAATTGTACAGTCATTAGAGGATTTACCTTGATCTGACTTTAACTTGATCGTGATATCTCTCATGAAAAGTTTCAAGTTGGATAAGTTTTTTATTCAATTGTGCATTCACGAGAGAATCCACCTTGGTTTGATCCTATCTTAATTGTGATATCTGTTATTAGAAATCTCAAGTTAGATAAGTTATTTATTTAATTGTGATGTCTCGAGTTACATAAATTCTTTATTTAATTGTGCATTTGTCAAATGATTCACCTTAATCTAATTTTTTTTTTATTATGGTATCTATTAAGAAGTCTCGCGTTAGATAAGTTCTTTATTCAATTATGTATTTGTTAGAAGATCTATCTCGGTTTGACTTTATTTCCATCATGGTATCTTTCATTAGAAGTTTTAAATTAGATAAATTTTAATACCACTTATCACAAGTCCATACTTTTAATTCAAAAAATATATTTATTAAGTGAAAAAACCTCTTATCAATACCCTTAAAATCTATTTCATCTCTCCCTTATGTACAATCTATAACATTATATTATTAATTTTTTTAATAAAATTAAGAAAATACCTTGAGCATATTTTTATAATTTTATTAGAAAAATTAAACACCTATCCTCTGTGAGAAGAAAAATTATATATAAAACATTAATTGAAAAAAATATCCACAAAGTTTTATGAATTGGAAAGAAAAATTATAAATTGCTGTGTGAGAAAAATTAAAATTATAAAAAATATACTTAAGATTTTTTCTATTTATATCAGTGGTTAAATCCTTATTATAAACAGTAGTTAATATTCTTCAATAAAAAATCAACTGGAGATGGTGACTGCCATGATAAGGTGGGCATCCACCAGAGTTAGAAAAATTATAAAGAAACAAAAAAGATAAGGCCGTTCATCATTTTCTTCACTGGTCTTTCCTTGCAACAATTAGACAAAAAAATAGTAAAATACATGGTGCCAGCCCATCCACAGGACACTGAAAACATTGGCTTATTTCTGGCTGCGGATTAATTCTGACGTCTCAGGTTTTTACCAGTCTTCTGATAAGCCCCCCATACGAAACCATATCCAATTTGTTCAATACTTTGATATTTTAATTCATGGGAATGAAAAGGAAAGGCTAGAATAAAGTGTAAACAGAATGAAGAGTGGGAACGAACAGTGAACTCATCTATTCTAACTTATTCACATGTTACCTAGTCAAAGATTTGACTTGGTTTCAAGACCCTTTGCTCTTTGGATATGTCATCCTAAGCAAAGTTGTTTGCATTTGGGTAATTAAATGATGTAAGTCTGGAATAATTTCAGACTGAACTGGTAAATCTTCTGGTGGTGGTGATGTTCAACCTCAGGTAAAGAAGTCTTATACGTGGCTAATCAAATGAGATAATCAACAGGGAAAGGACAAATAACGCCCTCAGTGATGGCAAATGAGAGTGGTAAAGCAGCATTTCCTCCAGGTTAGAGACACATTATTGTATCGTGTCAGAAAACTAACAAAGGAAAGTTTCCTGAAGATAAGAATACATTGGGGTCCGAGAATCCTTATCCATCACGCTCAATATCAGGCCGCCAATCAAGATATACTTCCTACCTTCAACCATTTTACTTTAATATCCCCACAAGAATTTGAAATCCGATAAATACTGATTGAAACCCACAGGGCAATCTTTATTTCCATTTCATCTGGCATATTCTCGCATAAAATCTAATCATTTTTTTATAAGATTTTTCTGTCTGGTTTGAAAGAGTGACAGGAAAAAATGTTGGCAATTTTCCACAAGGCATTTGCTCACCCTCCTGAGGAGCTGAACAGTCCAGCTTCTCACAAATCTTCTAAGAAGCCTAAACTCCCTGAAGAAACGCTGAATGAGTTCCTTTCTCATTACCCTCATAACACTTTTTCCATGAGCTTTGGCAACGCTGCTGTTCTAGCTTATGTTCGCCCTGAAAGTCCTTATTTAGTTCATCAGAGGTATCTGTTTTTCTACAGGGAAATGGTCTGTGTGTGTTTATATATGGAAATTGCTGATATGATGATCGATGGTTTCTATTGGGGTTACTTTTGCAGGTTGTTTTGTGGGTTTGATGACATATACTGCCTATTCCTAGGGAGCTTGAACAATCTTTGTACGCTGAATAGACAATATGGTCTGTCAAAGGGGAGCAATGAGGCGATGTTTGTGATTGAAGCATATAGGACCCTGCGTGACAGGGGTCCGTACCCTGCTGATCAGGTTGTTAAGGACCTTGATGGAAGCTTTGCCTTTGTTATCTATGACAGCAAGGCTGGAACTGTTTTTGCTGCACTGGTAAGTCGATATTTCCAGTATTAGAATTGACTTGTACTCTAAGGCAAATGGGAATCAAATGAGATCTTTAGTTCATATTGGCTATTTGCTCCGATTCTTCCTCTTTTTCCAAGTGGCTCGACCTTCCTAACTTATGGAAAAACATAGAAAAAAAATTAACTGAAACACTCCTGGAGACCGAGTAACAGTGAAGTTGCGTCTTCTGAGATTGCAGGGTTCTGATGGTGGGGTTAAGCTGTACTGGGGAATTGCAGCTGATGGCTCTGTGGTTATATCTGATGATTTGGAGGTCATCAAAGAGGGCTGTGCCAAATCCTTTGCTCCTTTCCCAACAGGTACTTGACAGGTTCCTTTTTCTGATGGAATTGGTTCCTCAAACCTAGAGGCTTTAAGATCAAAACCTGCATCGTTTCCATCCAAGTAAATGATTCCTAGGAAATCTTTTTATGTCATTATATATTTAGACACGATCTGATGTAACTCATCATTCAATTGTGGGGATTTGCAGGATTCATGTTCCACAGTGAGGGAGGCCTGATGAGCTTCGAGCATCCAATGAACAAAATCAGGGCAATGCCAAGGATAGACAGTGAAGGAGTGATCTGCGGTTCTAATTTCAAGGTTGATGTCTACACGAGGGTTAACAGCATTCCACGTGTGGGGAGTGAAACAAATTGGACTCACTGGGATTCACATTAAGAACAAAGATTGCTATGGTTTTCTTCTCCCAAGACCAAGAGGAGTCAGAGGACCAAAGCTGAAACAAAATTTCACTAGAGCTCCTGTTTCTTTCTTCCCCCAGTTCTTGACCTTTCTTGTACTTTTCTTGTTTATGTTTGCGTTGTTTCTTTGGGATTGTAAATAATATAAAACCAAACGAGTATCCTACTTTTCTTGTAAACTTTTTCAATTATCTCACATTTCAAAGGGTAGGTTCCCAAAAATTCAAGAATGGAAAAGAGTTCTTGGGCAAAACATATTTCAATCTGTAAATGGCTACCCAAAATCTATATCAACGTGTTTATAACTTTTAAGCCAATCTCCATAGCAGTCAATTGGGTCTAAATGCAAGTCCCCATTGTAGATTTAGCATGCTACTTTATTCAGATATTTGATAGGTGGACCAACCTAAAACTGTAAAGAAAGACCGCCCATTGTATCATTATTACAATTAAGATTATTATATAAAAGTTAAAATATTCAAGTATTAAGATTTGACATAACATTTGATTGTACTAATATAATATATTCAGCTAGATGCGAAATTGAATATGACCGATGCGACTAATTAATTTTTATAATATCCTAAATTATGTTAATAAAATATAAAAAATCAAAATTTTAAGTAACAATAAAAATAAATTAATTATCAAATTTAGGTTAAAAAATAATTTTTAAATAAAAATATTCGAAAATGTGTATTAGGATAAAGTAATAATAATAATTAAAAAGAAGAAGCGAAAAAGAAAAAGAAAAAGCCGGCTTTGACTGAGTTGACCATGGGCTTTACTTTTTCAGTTCCTCATCAGTTATCACACGCGCTTTCTATCTTTTAATTCTAATTTCTAGCAATGCCCGACCCTGACCCGAAAGTGGACCCGGAAAATCAAGAACGGGACAATGCCGACGATCTTGATGAAGAAGATGACGATGACGACGAATACGACGAAAAAGAAGAAGACGAAGAAGAAGACGACAACGACGACGTCACGTTCGAACCGCCCACGCCTCGAGCGGTGAGGCTGAAAATGGACGCTCTAGTGCGACGTATGTTGGCCGGTCCCGTTTCAATCCACGTACACGATGTGATCATCAAAGGGAACACGAAGACTAAAGGCTACATAATCGAAGCCGAAGCTTTAGAAGCTTTGAAGAAAGCCACCACGATGCAGGAGCTGTTGCAAGCATCGAGCGCGGTTAATTCGCGGCTGAAATCGCTCGGACTGTTCAATTCCGTTAAGATCACGCTAGATTCGGGCCCGCCTGAGATCCCTGGAAGTGCCAATGTAGTTATTGAGGTTGAGGAAGCGAGGAATCGTTTATTGGGAGAGATTGGGGCTTATACGAAAACTGAGGTATATATGCTTTACAAGAATTTAGGGTTTTATGAAGAAATTAATGCAATTGGTTTGATTTGTATGCAAATGCCATAAAGGAATTAAAATTCTTTCTTTTTTGGAAAATGCTTGGCATTGCTTTTTAATTGGCATAATAAAAAAGCCAAATTTAGACTAAATTAAGATTTAAGTAAGATATACTAAGAAATTGGTTCTGAATTTCTGATTCAGTCCTCTTGTAAAAGTCCTCCTTTTATGATACTCTTAAGTATTTTCATTAGCCTTTCCAGTTTGGGAGTTCTTAGCTAGTTTACATGCGCACAAGGTTGCGAATTCAAATGGAAATCGTTATGAAACATGGATATATTGCTGCACTTACGTAATTTGTGTGAATTATGATTGTGTGATGTTTTTGTAGGCTAAATCTTCCTCGGTGGAAGGATCAATCAAGTACAGGAATTTGTTAGGGTATGGGGATCTCTGGGATGGTTCAATTGCTTATGGCTTTGACCACTCAGCTGAGGTAAGTGGTGGTGTGTATTTCCCCAGATTCAAAGCATTGGTAGCTCCTGTCACTGCTCGTGCATACATTTTGACCCAAGATGGGCTAAACTTTTACTCTTACAAAGAGCGATCTGTTGGACTTTCTCTTGGTTTATTTTCAAGTAGATATCATAACTTTGAATACCATCTGGCATGGCAAACCTTAGCAGATGCATCTCAATTGTCATCATCGTCTATAAGAAGCCAGCTTGGACGCAATTTACTGTCATCTTTGAAGTATAGGTTAAAAATTGACAGAAGAAATTCTCCTGTGAGACCAACCCGAGGATATGCTTTTGTGGCTACCACTCAGATTGGGGGCCTTGCACCTGATAGTCATAGCTTACGGTTTCTACGCCAGGTTTGGAACTATGCATGTGCTTCATATTGCAGTTTTAGTTGTATTTGTATTGCCATACGTTTCACTTTGTATTTGCCCTGCAGAATTGTTTCTGTGTGTTAGGTTTTCATGACAAGTAGCAAAAATTGTGTTAAGGAATCGTCATCTATCCCTGTATATGTGTGTCTTATGCATGTGCAGGGTCTATAGTTTAATTTTGAATCCCAGTGCAGTAGCCGGTAAGCATATTTTTGGAGATGTGAATGTTCATAATGCAATTGACTGCAGATGGAAGTTTAGGTAGTCTGGGGCTTTTGTTCTTAACCTGCTAAGCTTAGTTTAGTTTTTTGAGAGAAGAATAGAAATGATATTTTGTTTCCCTTGATGTGAGGATGCTGGCTTTGGCCATTGTGATGCATTTGATCCTCACTGGCCTGAAAGTGTCTCATCCAGGGTTAGGTTAGCTAATTTCTGGATCTTAGACATCTGAATTCATGTATGAATATGAATAGTCTTGTATACAACTCTCTTTCGTGATCATACTTTAGCTTCTATTACCTTTTTCATGTGGTCATTGTTGTTGTTATTTAACCTAGTTGCTAACTATTAATAAAATTCAATGGTTAGTCACAAATTATAGTCTTTCACTCTCAACTCAGATGTATTATTATTCATTTGATTTTCTAACAGGAGTTTGATCTTCGATGTGCTATTCCTCTCGGATTTTACAATGCAGCATTTAATTTTGGGATTTCTAGTGGTGTTATCTTTCCATGGGGGAATGGGTTCTTGAACAAGACTACATCCTTATCAGAAAGATTCTTCTTAGGTGGCAATCTGTCTCCAGTTTGTGCTTTAGGAGGCCCAAAAGCATTATGGGGATATAAGACAAGGGGATTGGGCCCCTGTGAGCCTACAAGGCAAATCAACGATGAGGATGCTGATGCTGTTGTGAGGGATTTTCTTGGAGGAAATCTTGCTGTTACTGCTCTGGCGGACCTTTCTTTTGACCTTCCACCAAGGTGGTTTAGGGAGAAGGGAATCCATGCACATGTCTTTGCATGTGCTGGAAATGTTGCTAAGTTAGCAGAGAATTTCCGAAGTTTCTCTGTTCAGAAGTTCATAGAGTCATTCAGAAGTTCTGTTGGAGTTGGGATTGTTGTCCCTACAAGTCTATTTCGCATGGAGGTTAGTTTCTCTGTCCCTTTATTCAAAAATTTTAAACTAAACAATGGAGAATGGTTATAGCATACTGGTTTTGAATCTTTTCTGAGTTGATAAGTTTTCTTATCATGATTAGTTGAACTTGAATCTTTGATGTGGCATGAGAAGCAAGCAATTAACTTTATGCTTTGGTGAAAGTATGAGAAAAAGAAAAGAAAACTAAGAGATATATAAAATTGGAAGAAATGAAAAATAATTTATGATTCCACTAGTGTGCTCAGCAAGAGGGAGAGAATTAGATGAAAAGGAAAATGTGCCTAAAAGTCAAATTTTATACATTTTTTTAGCTTACTCTTTCTGGTTTTTGGTTGTTCATTTTGTTTTGTTGACATGCTTGGTATGTTATGCTGACCTGCTTGGTTTTTCTACCAGCTTGATTACTGCTACATACTGAAGAAGTTTGATCATGACCATGCAAAAGCCGGCTTTTGGCTAACCTTCTCTCGTCCATCATAGAATGCTGAAATCTTTGTCAATGTTTGACATCTGGTAACATTGGTATGACATAGAAGCCCCGTCAGTTCAAACAATTGAGTTTTTGGATACCTTGGCAGTTCTGCTTCTTTGCTGGATATCTTAGTTTCAGCAGTGTTGATATGGCCCTTTTCACCTCAAGAATAGGGGGCAAATAATTGTGTTTCAGTTAATGGTGGGAGTATACACGGGATTCTTTCTTGTGGGTATCCAATGAAACCACTGATTGTCTCATTTCCGGACAGGGTTTCTTGAGAACCTGATTGTTTACACTTGCAGTGAAATTTTTTTGAGGAATACTCTTTTTCCTTCATTTGTCCGGATGGCTTATTAACCGTGATGATATCTGATGCTTGCAACCTGGGTAAAGATTTGATGTTCTTGTATTGAAAAAATAAATAAATCAATAAAAGAATACCTTACTGCTTTTGCTCTAAAAACTATTCTGGAATTTTTGAATGCTTTTTGGAGCCCAAATATGTCGTCATATTATATTCTAGTTTGATATATTCAAGTGTATCCATGTTGATCTCCTGCAATAAATCATGGAAAGCCAACCTGGATCATAAGCATCATCCTTAACTAATCAGGCATCAGGGTATATGGACACCAAAGACTTTTACATCATTTTGGCTTTCAGTTTCATCACCAAATCTTCCCAACAAGGTCTAATACCTTATCAGAATCACAGTATTTCTGCATTTGACATGAGAAGAGAATGTGGATGCTACTACAAACACATATCATTTTGTATAACTAATCCATTGGTGTAAACTGATTCTCACCAGTACAAAATGGAAACTTACAGAGAAAACAATTAACCAAAACCTGCTGTTTCACACTGGATACAAAATCGATTTTAGTCCATAATGATTGTTTTTGCTTGGCAGAAAAAGGATCTTGATCAACATCATTCCCTCCACATATCAGCAAATTCATCAGGCTCCAATGGATTAGATAGCTCGTGCATTTTCCTCCTTGTCTTGGCTTTCACTTTCTTCGCATACTTCCCGGCCTTCTGCCTCTTCTCCAATGCTCGGATCTGCGAATGTTGGGAACGGAAGCACAAAGTGTCAATAATTATTAAAAGTATAAAGGAGGAACATGAATCTTACCCTACTTTAACAGAATCCATCAAATCTCATTAACCACAATAATTTGCACCACCAAAATCAAGATTAAAGTGAAATCCTCTAACCTGGTTTGGTGATACATAGAAAGGATTCTCATATAGTGTTGGACCTCCGAAGCTGCCACCAAATATCTTGATCGGATTCAAACAAAATCTCGGACCAACCTGCACAGAACCAGTATCTAGAATTAAATTACAATCGCAGGTACTAGATAATCACATTATGTAAATAAGAAAGCACATCACTGCATACCTCAACAAGGGTCATTTTATCAAGGCCCCCTCTAACCATTTTATCTGATTCATTATGAGGAACAGATATCTACATTAAAAAATATCAGTGTTAAAGAGCGAATTTCAAAGTTAAAATATTCATTAACAAATAATAAACAAGCAAATATTTGACATTAGACAAACTTATGCTGATCATTTACATCATCGTTTTCTTTTGTAGGCTTCAAGATCAAAGATAGACTAGAGATCCTTTCAAAGTAGAACTAAAATAAAATGAGGATATTCATTCCAGAGTCATGCAATGTCAAGGAGGGCAAAGCAGAGAAAAATATGTACAGGCATTTTCCTAGGAAAACTACAACAGTCTAGTCCAGCTCCTGCACTTAAACCTAAACAATCTAAGCGAAAGTTAAAAGGAAGGAAATCCAAGAAACTGAATTCGGCAGCCCATCTAGTTGATAATACTAGTACTGCAACAACAATTCACATCCATTATATATGCCACCTCTAAGATGTTGATGGTTTAATTGGCAGCTATAAGGAGTTTAATACTAAATCAGCAGATGTGCCCAAGGAATACAGACAGAAGGAGTGTAATGAAACTTTTACTTTCAGTTTCCATATTAAAACCTTCAGATACAGCAACCAAGTATTAAGAATTTAATCTATACTATAGGAAAATATAGCACACAGATTACAAAAGGCACATCCTTCACAAACCTGGTAATTGCGGAACCATATGTGGTCATCAACAATGGAGAAAACAAAGACATGATCGTGGTAAGGTTTAGATTTCCTGTGTTCCTTCGGAGTTCCAAATATCTGAAAGAAAAAAAATATATATACAAGAAACTGTCATAAATGGAATATTCTCATTTTCACCCCACAATATGTTTTAAGTAAAAAATCCATAGAATCTCAACAATTTGTGCACAGATAAAAGGAGGGAAAAAACCAAAAATGCTGACATACCAAAACAACCTTCACATCATTTAACAAAGAAAGTTCACAATTCAATAAGGCGAAAGCTTTCACACACAATGAGCAGAAACAGAGGAAGTGATAAGACAGTCCATGTAAAATTTTAGCCAATCATTCATTTCAAGGACTATCTGAGAGAGTTTGAATTTACACTGCTACAGGTCAAAAGACTGGGAGAAAACTCAAAAGAGTTGATTCAGAAAGTGGGGAAATACATGTTTTATCTATATGTGGGAAAGATAAACAGCAAAGGAGCATTTCTTTTGAAAGGAGAAAAAGCATTATCAAGATACCTGCACGATCATCTCCTTCAGAAGCTTCCAGTGAGCATCTTTTTCAAAATTTCCCGAGAAAGTCAATAAAGGACGCGAACCTTTCAAATGATTTCCAGTTAGCTTCAGTTCTTCCATTGTGTGCACTGAAATGAACAAAACGGACTTCATTAAGCCACAAGAAACAAGAAAATCACTGCAATACTAACTAAACAACATCGAGACACTTATGTATATAGGGAAAAATTCATAATATACGAAATCAAATGAGAAATATTACCAGCATTAACCAAAAATTTAACAGATGGACCACTGGGACACTTTACCATCCACAGATAAAGATCCTGATGTTTCCTACACTGGCATAGACAGCAAAAGTTGTATATAAACGTATCGTATTTTGAATACAAAATTCTAAAGTAAAGCAAGCTAAAGTCAGCTTATTTCAGCAGAACATTTAAGTGAGTACCATATCAAGAGTTAATTTTGACGCAATGTTTATAATTGTATACACTCTCAGTGTCAAACATTGCAAGCTCATCAAACTTCATAGTTATAACAATCAAAACTGGCTACACTTTATTTTTGCAAAAAAAATTTAAAAAAAAAAACCAACAAAGCTTAGATGTTTACCTCAAAAAACAGACAGGAAGAACAACCCCTCAATTCAATAAGCTCATTCAGTGTAGCGCCTTTGCTACTCTTCGACTCAACCTTGTTATCCTTCTTACAATGAGGCAAAAGTGAAACCATATTCAACATCAAATGCCTATACCTACAAAAGAAAACACTAAACCCAAATCAAAAACAAACTCAACCAAACAATCAGGCAAAAGAAAACAAACATTTTTTTTTTACCAACGAACCTGTAATTGATACGGCGTGAACATGTAACCATAACTTTTTCTTTGTTTCTAAAGACCAGGGAAGAAGAATCAGGATTAGACTCAGTTTGTTCTTCAACTTCTTCCTTGTCTTTCCAACCCAAAAGTGTCCTCTTTGGTCTCTCTGGAGCTCCTTCATCTTTCTTCGTTGGTTCAGCTGTCTGCGTATCGCTTTGCTTTCGTTTCTTCCCCATTTTTTAACAAAGAGGGAGTCGAACGATAAGAGTTTTTACTTGGGTTTTGGCTGCTGGAACAGACACAGGAAAACTGGAAGCTTTCGGCTTTTGATAAACCCTAGTTAAAACCTGACTGGCTGACTCCTTTTCCATAAATGGGCTGGGCTTGAAGTGGATAAATATGGGCTCCTTAGGAGTGCATATCCAAGGGATTGAACCTAGAGATGGACCTGATATGGGCCTTGGCCTTCTTAACTTTAATGCCATTTTTGTTTTTACATTGCAGGTATTAAAAAACACATAATATTTAAAAAACCTCTCTAACTATTTAAAAAAAAAATTAATAAAATTTATTCTTTTATTATCGTCAATCAAATTTTTATATTTTTATTTTTATCAAATAAGTTTTAATAATTAACGAACGTCATTTGTCATTTTATATCACATAATGTTAATATAACATACTAACATATCATACTGAGTGGTGACATGACATGATGATACAACATAATAATAACATGGTCACATTGCATTTCGTACTTCACCTCAACGTCATGTTAGTAATTTTTTTTTATAATTTTATTGAGGAATTTAAAAAGTTTTACATAAAAAATTTTACCTAAATTTTGCCTTAATTTGGTTGTAGGCAATTTACAACGAGGTTAAGCAAAATATGGACAGCCAAGTTTGTTTCTTTTTTATTTTTTTATCAACAGTGTTTTTAATTTGACCATTTGGTCAACAGTGTTTGAGGGAAGGGAGCTAAATTCCAGCTTAATTAATAGACTAAGTGCTTGTTTGGTTTGATTTTTTTTTCAGTTTATCTATCTTTTAAAAATAAAAGCCAGGTTAAATATAAATTTTAAAAAGCTTTTTAAAAAAAAAGTAACTTTTTTTTAAAACAATAAAATTTTTTAAAAAGGACCTTTAAGAAAAGCTCCTATGAAGAGCTTTTTCTTCTCTTTTTTTTAAATACAAGAGAATTTTTATTTTTGTTTTAAAAATATCTTCATCTATTAAAGATAATTATAATATTACCTTCTCAAAAAAAAATCCCTTTATGATAATTTAACCAAAATTATAACTTATAAAAAGAAATTTACCAAACAACTTCAGTTTAATTTTAAAAGCTATTATTTTTCATAAGAGTTTTATAATAGTTTTTAAGCTAAAAAAAAATTAAGCCAAATAGGCTTTAAGTATTTAATTAATACAAAGATTAATTCCATAGTCCGTAATATCAACGCACATTAATTGCTCCACACAATGCTTAGTTAAGGGGCCTCCATTGTTAATGTAATAATATAATGTAAATTAGTCTATTTATAAGCAAATAACCTTTTTACAAGATGAAAATAATACTTAAAGATTAGATGGATTATATCATAATCTAATCTGATTTATATTAAATCTAGATATAGATAACATAAATGGATATTCACAAAAATATTCATAACAAAAAGTTATTATTTTTCATAAGAGCTTTATAATAGTTTTTAAGCTAAACAAAAAGTTAAGTCAAATAGGCTTTAAGTATTTAATTAATACTAAGATTAATTCCATAGTCCGTAATATCAACGCACATTAATTGCTCCACAATGCTTAGTTAAGGGGCCTTCATTGTTAATGTAATAATATGATGTAAATTAGTTTGGCAAGAAACTCATTCATGAATTCTGATTCTTATACTTTGAAAAATTAAATAGCAAATCTGCTAATTATGGAAGACTATCCAATCTTATTCTCCCCAGCCATGATTCATTGGCTTAGAGACTTGTGCCAAGCATGTCATTTAATTATAGCATTAATTCGTAATCAAATCATTCCTTAATTTAGAATTCTGGGTTTGCTTCTAAACGTTATATAAACCCTGTCAATTGCAACTAGAGAAAATCATTCCAAGGTTTAGGCAAGGGAAAGAAGAGAAAGATTGCAAAAATGTTGAAGCAAGTGTCTTTAATTTTCCTTGTTCTTTTTGCTTGCTACATGGGAGTTCATTCTCAAAAATTGAAGCATCTCACCAATCAAATTGAAGTGAAAGCGCCAGCAAGTGAGGTTTGGGAGCTATACAGGCACCTTGGAATCTCCAGGCTTGCTGCAGATCAGCTCAAAAATGTTATTCAAAGCATCAAGGTTTTGAAAGGTCATGGTGGGGTTGGCACTGTCCTCAAACTCACCTTTGTTCCAGGTATTAAAACCCTTTGAAACCAAGTTTCTTGATCATCTTTTTAATGGTTTAAATTATATATATATATATATATATTTGGAAGAAAAGGATTCGAACTCTAATATTTGATTTTGAGAAAAAAATCATGTACCAATTAATAAGTTAAATCATCAATTCTTTCGATGAATCAGGGAATTCAAGCTATACGGAGAAATTCACTGTGATTGATGACAAGAAGAGGGTGAAAGTGGCACGAGGCTTGCAAGGAGGATGTCTAGCAATTGGTTGCTCAGTGCAAACCGTTCGCTTAGACATTATAGAGAAATCCGAGAGATCAAGCATCATCAAATCCGACATTTCCTATGCTGTCAAGAAGGAGTTCGAAGCAAAGGATCCAAAGCCTAACATCCAACTCTTGGCGGCTGCTGCCCAAATTGCAAAAAAATTTCTTGAGAGCAAACATAATGCTTAAAACTTTCTTGAGAGTAAACTATATATGATATCTAGCAGCTACCCTCACTGTATTGCTGTTGTTGGAGAAGGATTTTGATGAAATGGAAATCTTGATCTTAGATCATTATAATTTATCGGTCTCTAATATATTTCCCTTCGTTATGATTGATGAAATTCTATGATCTTCAAAGCATGCTTGTTCTTATTCTATACAATTATCATGAATTCTTGAATTCTCTTTCCCTTTCGGATTTGGAATTGTTGCTAATTAAGGTAACTGAAGAGTGAAGATTGAAGAATGTGATCCCACCAATTCCTTAATAGGAACAAGAATGGGCTTCGGGGTTGGGGGGGTCCAAATTTATACATTTAGCTTGGCATGGTTGTAGTTCCCTTGATTGTCTCCTGTTTTATGGATCAACTAGGGAAAATGGGCACGGGAGAGCTCTTTCCAACACCAACTTGTTCTAAAAGCAATGCCAAGTTTCCAGTAAGATTCAGACTATACTTTAGTGCATATGATAGCTTTGGTACTTACAAGGATGGAGACGGCTGAACTTGGTCACAAGTCCTGCTCAAAGACTATGTTGCTCTTCTCAATTTGCTTGTTGATACGCTGCCTTAATTAGCTATAAAATGGAAAAGCAATCAGCTAAAGCATAACTCTGCTGTCATTGTTTGCTATTTTTGGCATTCCATAAAAGTCAAAAAGGTGGAATATATATAAGGCAACGGAATTTCTTCTTGGCCTTGATTAAATGAAGGAACAAAGAGGAAAAATTGAAAAGTAAGATTTGAAGGAATTCCAGCTGGAATGAGTTCAGTTCTGCCCAAGAATTTTGATTGCTTCAAAATACTCTTATACGCGTTCTGGGGTTCCAAAATTTATGATGTCTGTTGGTTGCTTGCATGTCTTTTGCCTTCTTTGACTTTTTTGGGGCCCTCTTCATAATTATTTATGCTATCTTGTTTGATGTTAACACTTTAGCAAATTTCTTACCAATATTGGAATGGTGGGCAATAATAGAAGCTAAAAATGTTCCAATTTTGGGACTGTATCTCAAATTGCTGACTATTTGATTAGGCAATCCTTTTTCAATGTTTTTTTTTTTTTGAAAGTTAAATATAGATTGATTTCATATCAAAAGGGATGATCCCAATTGTACAAAAGGAGAAGGAACTTGGCAAAGAATCAGCCTAGGATCAATCCTTTTCCAATGTTGACCATAGGTTTTTAGCCCTTTTTTCACACTAATGTTACGAAAATTTCCATGACGAAATATTCTGTAATCATCGAATTGGGCTAATTTCCAATAAAATATTTGGTCAATAATTCGATCAATAAAATCTCTAATTCTTACAATTATCGTCAAATATAATCAAAAGAATATATTGGAAACCTCAAAATCTTTACTCATTTATTTCTTCAACGATACAAGGTATAAGAGCATAAAATTTTCTAGTACAAGAAGATAGAAACAATGAGAATTCAACCCTCCCCATCAATCTGTTATATTAGACTGATGATCTTTAAGCGTTGTGTTTACTCTCGAGGAACCTTTTAGTAATCTGTGCAGCAGCTGCTAAGAGTTGGATATTAGGCTTTGGGTCATCAGCTTCAAACTCTTTCTTGACAGCATACGCGATGTCAGATTTGATGATACATGAAGCATTGGTTTTTGCTATGATATCAAACCGAACGATTTGAACAGAACAACCAATTGCTAGACATCCTCCTTCCAAACCCGTTGCCACTTTCACCCTCTTCTCGTCGTTAACCACAGTGAACCTTTCTGTATAGCTAGAATTGCCTGATTCAAACGAAGCCAAGATCAGCTCCAGGCATGGAATATTGACAGAAGAAACACTGACTTGAAAAGGGTTATAAATATATATAAATTGGTACCTGGAACAAAAGTGAGTTTGAGGATAGTTCCAACCCCGCCATCGCCTTTCAAAACTTCAACAGTTTGGATGACGTTTTTAAGCTCTTGGGCAGCAAGCATTGAGATCCCAAGGTGCCTGTAAAGCTCCCAAACGTCGCTTGCTGCCACCTTCACTTCAAGCTCATTGGTGAGATGCTTCAACTTTTGGGACTCAACTCCCATGTAGCAAGAGAGAAGAACAAAGAGAACGAAAGAAACTTGCTTCAACATTTCTGCAAATCTTGGTTTTTGATGAAGTTTGGCTTGCCCTTAAGTTGAGATTTACAGGGTTTTTATAGAGTGTAGAGATGAGCAAGGGATCATGCATTATATGTGGGATGACAATGGGAGAATTGACGTCATATGGATAATAAATTAATAATGCATTGAGGGTGGCATGGGAAGAAGTCTTGGCCAGGAATCACGGCTGCTAGAAGGAGAGTCTGCCTTTTAACAACATAGTTTCGAAAGCCGATTTTGATTTGATGATGTTTAATGCCGCTTACTTGTTCTTTTTCAATATGTGACTTGAGCCAAAGTTGATGAATAATTCTTGGCAAATTAATGTGTCAAAATTAATACCATTATTAGGGCAAAAATTTAAATAATTTTTTTGGTTTAAAATTTCATGTAAATCTTATTTTTAGTAATAAATTACTCTCTCCGTCCTTGTTTTTGGTCCATCTTGGACTTTTACGGATATTAAGATAAAAGCTTTGATTTTGACATATTTTATGTTTATATTAGAAAATTTTTTATGATATAAGCATTCAATACATTTTAATAAGAAAAAGTTAAAAAATCATGAAAACTAAATTTTTAATATAAAAAATTAAGAGTATATATGTCTAAAAAAAAGAAAAAACCCACTTCATTTAGAGATATTCTGAAAAGAAAAGATGGATAAAGAAAAGAAGATGGAGGGAGTATGACAAATCAATGAATTTAATATAATTGTGTTGATATTAAAGGATCCATAAAAATTTAGGAAAAGATTATTAAGGAGCTTATATATAGTTATATGAAGGAAAATTGTGGAAAAAAGGATATAGTTGCATAGCTTGATTTTGTCCTTGAAGAACAAAAGAAAGAGAAAAACGTTTACAACAAGAACAGATGTTGTTACAAATATCTTGATTGATTAATTCCCAATAAATTAAGATTGACTTTGACTCAAATGAAAACCTTACATCAAACCTATATTGAAGACCAAGCCTAGATATTTATTTGGTCATAAAAGCTATAATAATTCATAGGCAGAGCTTGGTCTCAATAGAATAATTCACTTTGACAGAATATAATTATATTCTGTTTTGCTTGTTTTATCTTTTTTTCACTGCAAAACTCTGTTTTGGGTTGTTGAATTTTCATTTTGTGCTTCATTTCATGTTTTCCCATCAAGTGAATTATGCATATAGACATTAAAGTTGGTGACTTTACTGTACTTTCTGTTCTGGGTATGTTGAGATTTTTTTAAATAACCAACTATTGCCTCAAGAAAATAAAAAAAAAGATTTTTTTTCTAAGTTTAGAAATTGTTTGGTTTTGCTTGTTTCAGGTGGTGAGGGAGACATGGGGAATGAGTGGAAAGCGAACGGAAGACCATACTTTGTATACGGGTGCTCTTGGGACAGCTTATTTGGTCTTTAAAGCTTACCAAGTTACCAAGAATGAGAATGATCTTAAATTATGCTCTGACATTGTTAAAGCTTGTGATTCTGCTTCTAAAGATTCTGGGTTCTCTTTCGTTCTTTATCTTAATGGTACACAGTCATAGGAATTGCCTTTTTGTGAGAATTAGTTGAATTGGTTTTTGGATTTAGTTTCTGATTACCTACCATTAGAAATGATCAATTATATTTCATGAAGGGGTGTTGAGATTCCCTGGATATGTTAGACATGGATTTATGTGCTTAATTTTGGACCAAATTTTTTATAGTTGTTGAGAATGATGAACTTATGTTGCTAGGATATGATGGGTGGATTGCATAATCTCCATTGGAGTTTGTACATGAATGCATTTTAGATTTAAATTCATGTGATTTAGTTATTTGATATGTGAAATAGCCAAAATAGATGGAAGTTTATCACAAAGTTTAGTTCTTGAATCCTTTTTGTTGTTGTTAATGATGTTTGAGTGCTCAAACAATCGAATTTGTTGGAATCATTAATCTGATATCTGGTCAATAAGAAATTAACTCACATAGTTTTCTGTTTATTACTCCAAATTGACAAACCATGTCCGACTGGTTCACCAACTCTCGGTATGAACATAGCTCACATTCCAAAGGAAACTCATGAATTATCTCAACTAGGATTATTATGGTATACATAAGATTGGTTATACAGAATTCTTGAATTCTCTTTCCCTTTCCGATTTCGACTTGTTGTTAGCTAAGGTAACCAAAGAGTAAAGATTGAAAAATGTGATCTCACCAATTCCTTAATTTGAGCAAGAATTGGCTTTGGGGGCAACCGAGCACTCCCTACCTAAAGTGCAGAATTCGAATCTCTCTCCCCTAAATATATATAAAAAGAAAAAAAAAAGAATTAGCTTTGGGGTTGGAGGTCCGAATTTATTCATTTAGCATGGTCTGGATCAACTAGGAAAAATAGACATGGGAGAGCTCTTTCCAACAATAACTTGCTCAATTTCCAGTAAGATTCAGACTTTACTTCAGTGCATCAACTAGGAAAAATAGACATGGGAGAGCTCTTTCCAACAATAACTTGCCCAATTTCCAGTAAGATTCAGACTTTACTTCAGTGCAAATGATAGATTTGGTACATACAAGGTTTGATGTTTCAGTAAGATTCAGAATTTGATTGTTTCAAATACATGGTTGGGGTTTCCAAAATATATGATGTATGTTGGTTGCTAGCTGGCTTTGGGACTATCTCAAATTGCTGGGGATTCCATTAGGCAATCTTTTTCCAATGCTGATCCTAGGTTTTTTAGCTCATTTTTCACACTAATTTTACAAAAATTTTCGTTGATAATGCATAAAAACTTCCAAAAACGAAGTATTCCGTCGATGGTTGGATCGTTAAAGTCCCTAATTCTTACATATATCATCGACTATAGTCAAAGGGATATACATTGCAAAGTCCCCAAGTATTCCGGAATGTATTGCATGCCACAAAATTCTTATTCATTTCTTTCTTCGATTATATAAGATATAAGAGCATAAATTTTCTACTACAAGAAAGATAGAAACATTGAGAATTCAACCCTCCCAATAAAAACTTCAAAGGCTTAAAACGATATATTTAAATAAAAACCTTGTTTATTGAAATTAAGAAAAAGAATTTATTATAATTTTATTCTTCTAATTTTTTGAGATGCAAAATTTCTAATTAAACTTTTATAACCACTTTCGTTTAATATTTCTTTTTCAATTATCAACATTATTTTGGAAGAAATATATGCATTTGAAATAAAAATTGATTTCTTTTTATGATTAAATATGTTAATTGGATTGTTATCCTCTATTTATATATTTTTTTAAATTTTTAGCTTTGAAAATAAATCCAAACTATTAATATAAGAATAGTTGTTATATTTTAAGCAACATTCAAGATTAAGACAATATTCTTTCAAACTTTATCATCTAAAGACTTCAACTTTTTACTACTAAATAGAAAACAAACAAAAATAATTTCATTTACAAATACACTTGAATAAGATCTTATTACTCCCTCTAAGTACTTTCTCTTATATTTCTTTTATATTTATTTTCTTAAGATTTATTTCATAACAAATATGAAATATTCAACTAATAAGAACAGATACTGTAATTGATCTTAGCTAAAGTACAGTTTCTTATTAAATAAGAGAGAATAGGTAAATATTTTATTAATTATTTTAATTTTTATATATTTTTAATATAAGTAATTATATTATAATTATCATAAATTTATGGATCCTCTTTAAATTTAGAGCTTAAATCCAAATCCTCGGGTGGCTTTACCTATGGTTCAGCAATGATTTACTCTCGAGAGACTTTTTAGTAGTTTCTGCAAAAGCCGCTACCGATTGGATATCAGGCTTCACGTCATCAGCTTCGAACTCTTTCTTGACAATATATTTAATGTCCGATTTGATGACGCATGAAGCATTGGTTTCTTCTATGAGATCGAACTGAGCAGTTTGATGTTCACAACCAACTGCTAGACATCCTCCACCCAAACGCTCTGCCACCTTCGTCCTTTTTTCGTCAGCAATCTTAGTGAACCGTTCTACGAATTGCCTGATTAAAACAAAGTCAAGATCAGCTCCGGGCATGGAAAATTGACATTAAGAAACATTCATTTGAAAAGGGTTCAAGTGTATATAAATTGGTACCTTGAACAAAAATGTATTCGGTAAAAGTTCCATCGCCACCATTACCACGAACGTCAAGACTTCGGATGACGTCTTTATGCTCTCGGGCAGCATGCTCTACGACCTCGAGGTTCCTGTAAACCTTCCAAACCTCTTCTGTTGGCACCTTAACTCGAAGCTCACGAGTAAGATGCTTCCGCAATTGGAACTCAGCTCCCATGCAGCAAGAATAAAGAAGAAAGAAAACGAAAGAAACTTGCTTCAACATTTCTGCAAATATTGGTTTTAATTTGATGAATTTTGGCTGGCCTTTACGCTGAGATTTACGGAGTTTTTATAGACTGTAGAGGTGAGCAAGGGATCATGCATTAAATGTGGGTTGATAATGGCAGAATTTAATTGAATCACGGCTGCTAGAAGGAGAGTCTGCCTTTTAACAACATAGTTTTGGAAACCGATTTCGATTTGATGATGTTTGATGCGGCTTGCTTGTTCACTTTCAATATATGACTTGAGCCAATGTTGATTAATAATTCTTGCCAAATTAATTTTTATGTCAAAATTAATACCACTATTAGAGCAAAAATTTAGATTTTTTTATTTAAAATTTCACGTAAATCTTACCCTTAGTAAATTACTCTCTCCACCCCTTTTTTTTTTTTGCTAATCTTCGACTTTTACGAAAATTAAGATAAAAATTTTGATTTTAACATATTTTATATTAAAATCTGAAAATTTTTTATGATAAAAACGTTCAATATATACTTTTTAATATGAAAAAGCAAAAACATCATGAAAAATAAATTTATAATATAAAAAAGTAAGAGTATACATGTCTAAAAAAGAAAACACGACTTCATTTGGAGACATTCCAAAAAAAATAAAAGAAGCATAAAAAAAAAAAAGAGACGGTGTGAGTATGACAAATCAATGAATTTCATATAATTGTGTTGATATTAAAGGATTGATAAAAATTTAGGAAAAGTTGATTAAGGTGATATTTGTGTAATAAATACATTTTTGCTTATATATATGAACAAAAATTGTGGAAAAAAAGATATAGTTGCATAGCTTGATTGTCCTTGGAGAACAAAAGAAAAAGAAAAACACTTATAGCAAGAATATATGCTATCATAAATACCTTGATTGATTACTTCCATAGTTATCGTTATTATTCGATACGTGATACGTATTGTGCAATACGATACGATATCAATAGCAAACGATACATATCTTATGATATAGAACATATCGCATTCGATCAAGTATTGAAACATATCTTATGATACGGAACGTATCATACGATACAGTCGATGCATTTTTTATAAGTTTGTATTTAATTAAATATTAAAAATTTTTATTTTTATTTTTTTGAGTTGAAACAAGAAAAATTATATTTTACGAGTTTCAATTTTTAAATTTTAAGCAAAAAATACTAAAAAAATTTGAATCCCCTTTTAAGTTTAACTTGATAAAATTTTTTAATTTTTAATTAATAAATTAATATGATAAAATGTATATTTTATTTCAAAATCTATATTATTAAAGAATATGTTGAAATTTTAAATTAAAACAATAATTATCGTTTCAATTTATGCCTTACAATCTTCATTTCTGTTAAAAAATATAATATTTTTATATTTTCTTTATTTTACATATATAAATATTAATTATTATTAATTTTAAAATTTTTTACGGTATCTTATGATACGATGTGATACTCGATACTTGATACTAAAAAATAAAATTTCAATAGTTGATACATATCTTGATTTAACAACTACAATTACTTCCCAATAAAGATTTTCATTGATTTTGACTAAATGAAAACTTTACATCAAAGCTATATTGAAGACCAAGTCTAAACATTTATTTGGTCATAAAAGCTATAATGATTCATTGGTAGAGCTTGGTCTTAATAGAATAATTCCTTTTGACAAAATATAATTATATATATGATTTTATTGGAGAAGATATACAGTATAATCTCTATAAATTAATAATCTTGATTAAATAATATTTTTGATCGGTCTCAACTTGAGATCAACGTGATAAATTAATAATTCGTTAAATTAATAAGATAAACATTTAAAAAAAACCACATAGGTCCCAATGGATATATACATTAATAATCTTCTTATACATTAAAATTATATGTATGTATATCTATGGCTAAATTAAGAGGCTTTTATAAAATATGATTTTAATGTTACTTGTTTTTTCTTGAAATTAATATATCCTTATACCTCATCTCCAACTTTTCTTAATGCATTAAAAAGCTCTGGTATAGTGTTCTCGTATTGTGAGAAAAAATTATATAATATGATTGTTGCTTTGAGTGCATCTTTACGCAACATAGGTTCCAATGCATAATTATCATCTTTAACTTCATCTTCTTTGTCATTTTTCATGATGTTCTCAATAATTTACTCATCACGAATAATGATAATTTGAAATTCAATAATTAGATAATATTCGTATAACCACAATATACAATAAATGTATTAAATTCAATATTTTGAAAAAAAAAAAGAATATCTTGATAAATTAATTTTTTATTAATTAATGTATGAATTAATAAATTATTAATTTATCAATTAAAAATTATCTCATTTAATAAATAAATTTTCATAGTGCGAAGAGTGTTAATTTATATAGGTTTTATTATACTACTACTATTAAGTCATATAGCATGGTAGGAAGAGTGGACAAAATCTATTTTTCTTGTTATTAAAGAGTTGGCAAAGCTAATATCTTATCCTATAAATTTGCTCATTTGAATTGTGGCAATTGCACTCTATACCTAGGAGTGCATGTTGGCAAGGGTAAGTGTCACGGGCTTGGAACTTTAGCTTAGATCCGTGTGGTGCTTAGACTTGTGTATAGAAAGATTAAGCAAGCATATCCTTAAATAATGCTACAGAAGCAACAATAACAAAACTTCAAGAACAAACTTTGAGAAAAAATAATTATATTATTATTAAGAGAAAAACAAATACCTAAGATTCTAAGCTAATAACCCTAAATTGCTAGAATTCTTGAATATGACTACTTTGACAATTTGATTCTATTGCCATTTCTTAATGCCTAAGGTAGTTATTTATAATGTGATAGCACCCATTCCTAATTAAACTCTACTTTTAGTTGTTTAATACAGTTAGAGTAAGTAACAAGAGATTTAAATAAAATAAATATTCTATTCCTAAGTATAACACTATTAGCCAAAGTCCTAATGCAAGTAAAATAAATAAAAGAGAATTATAACCCTATTAAAACTACCCTATGCAAGCAACCTTACTCGAAGTGAGGCTCTTATTGCAAAATCCTTGCGTAGTTGAGCATTTGGAAAACCCTAATCAATAGTGGTCCGATGCTAGTTGTGGATGGGCCCTCAAGTCATGTTGCCCTAGTCTCAATTAGTGCCTTTGGGCATTGTGCAGCGCAAGTGTGTACTGTCAGTCCAACCCTCAATCAAGCTAGGCTAGTCATGGAATTATGGACCATGGCATTGTCACTTGATTAAGGCGACGCCCTCGTTGCCTTACGGCCTCTCTCCACCACAAGTATTCAACAAGTTCCCCATGATTGGTGTGGGCTAGATTGAGGCAGCCTGTAATTTGCTGACTTTGAAACACCTCCAAGTTGAAATGTGTTCCACCATGTGAATGTTTGGCTCGTGGTTGGCCTATGACATTCAAGCACAAGGCTCCCATGTGTACGGCATCTCCTTTTACAGCACACATAGGATACAACGGGTTTACACTTGACACCTAGGTTGACATTCCAGTGCCAAAGCTTTATTGTGCGACTTTTTATAGCACGTTTGGTTCATAGAATAAACAAAAATAGAATATAATAATTATTATATAAGAATAGAATGAGGTGCGAATAGAACAGAATAGTTATTATGTAGTTTGGTATGATAAATGGAATAGGGCAGAAATAATTATTATAACTTATTGTAGTGTTTGGTTGGTAGCAATAACTTTGAAATAAAAAAGAGTAAAAAATAAAAAGATAAAAATACCCTTTATTGTATATATGATTATTTTATTTTTATTTTATAAATATTATGATTATTTATTTTATTTTATTTTATCTTTTAAATATTAATAATTTATATTTTTATTTAAAATATTAATACTTGATTATTTAAATATTATTATTTTATGTATAATTTAATCATTAATATTATAAAATACTATTATTTTATTTATAATTTAAATATTATTATGATTATTTATGTTTATTTAATTTAATTTTATCTTTTAAATGTTAATAATTTTTATTTTTATTTAAAATATTAATACTTGATTATTTAAATATTATTATTTTATTTATAATTTAATCATTAATATTATAAAATACTAATATTCTATTTATAATTTAAATATTATTATGATTATTTATGTTTATTTTATTTCATTTTATTTTTAAAATATTAATAATTGGTAATCTAAATATTAATATTTTATTTATAATTTAAATATTATTGTGATTAAAATGTTAATACTTTTAATTAATTTTTAAATCCAAAATATTTTATAATTATAATTAATAACTTAAACTGTTTATTATAATAAGATTTTTTTCTCTATTTGAATTTTCATTTTTTAATCTTTTTTCCCTTAATAATTTAAAAATTAATATTTTAAAATATTAATATTTTATTTATAATTTAAATATATTATAATTAAAATATGAAAATATTAATAATTTTTTAATTTTTAATTTAAAATATTAATTTTATAAGTTTAAGTTTGTAATTTTTGGAAGTAAATAAGAACATTTTAGTTCAAAATATTTGGACTTTATTCTCATGGGTGTGCAATAGCTAATACCATGAGAGAAGGTGGTATTAGCTATTCCAAGCTTTTGCCAAGTTTTAAGGAAAGAAAATCTTTTAAGGAATAGCGATTCCCCCAACCAAACATGACATTAGCATTTGTTAGCTACATGTGCAACTCTTTGATCGAGACCTCTAGCAACCTCTGGCAATTTCCATTGTTGCTACGACATAGTTGCCATCAATTCATCTATTGTGACCAATTAAGTTGTTTCACTATGTTGTGTCATACTTTGCAAAACGCATCATTATTAGACTACAATTGATTGATATTGTATTCGACACATTCGAAGTTGCTCCACACCTCGTGGTTGATAATTATATCAAGGCGAGATACACGATTATCCAATACTTGCAAAATGTCCTCAAACTTGTCATGTTTCACAATACGTGTGTATGCAGTTTCTATGTTTGCAACGCTCACATTATCTTAAATGAAAAAGTTCAAATGTGCTGTGGTCTAATCACCAATTAATGTCATTTCTTTTTTAAAACTCTTTTTTATTTTTTCAAATTTCACGACTTCAATTTTGAATAAATTTCTTCTGCTTTGTGGTTTTCAGAGTTGTTGAACCTTACTGAAAATCAATTTTCCCTGAAACTTAAGGCTTCCTTAAAGTTCCCTATTTCCTTGGAGTTTATCGGCCTTAACTCTCACCTTGGATTTTTCGTTGGCTTTAATACCACATTTCCCTTGGAAAGGTGAGGCATCTTGGCTAATCTAGCTTTGATATCACCTATGACGGACTTGAAACTTTAGCCTAGATCCATGCGAAGCTTAGACTTGTGTATAGAAAAACTAAACAAGCCTATCTTTAAGTGATGCAGAAACAAAATAACTAAACTAGAAGAAAAGACTTTAAAGAAAAATAATTATATTATTATCAAGAGAAAAACAAATAATGCTAAGCAAATAATCCTAAATTGCTAGACAACTTGAATATGACTACATTGTCAATTTGACTTTATTGCCTGTCCCTAATGCTAACTATTTATAATGTGATAGCAACCTTTTCTAATCAAACTTTAGTTCTAGTTGTCTTATATAATTAGAGTAGATAACAAAAAATTTAAATAAAATAAATATTTTATCCCTAAATAGACCTCTAGCATAAAGTCCTAGTAAAAGTAAAATAAATAAAAGAGAATTTTAACCCTATTAAAACTACCCTATGCTAGCAATCCTACTCAATCTTGAGCTCTTCATGCGAACTGCATAGGTAATCATATATCTAAAAACCCCAATCGATGGTGACCTGATGCTGGTTGTCAATGGCCCCCAAGTAATGTCGTCTTAGGCCCAATTAGTGCCCTCGGACACTATGTAGCACAATTGTGCGTTATTAATATGAACTTTCCATCAAAATGAACTAATCACGAGATCGCAAATGTGACATAAAGACCTCATAGAGGAGGGGGATTGTTTGGTATGTCCCCATCCCAACCCCAGCAAGGAAAGAGAGAATGTAGAGGCATCTCTTTGGGAGGTTTATGATGGTTACATGAAATGAGATTAATGATAATTTTCTTCTTCCTTATGTTTCATAAACACAAATAAATAAGTAGATGCAAATCATATTAATTCTAAGTTCTTGAAATTTTATGAATCAAGTTCACAATTAATAAATCTAACTAGAATTTAATTTTATATAGTGTAATTTCAGGTACAATATAATCTAGTTTTGTCAATGAATAACACCTTATTTAATACATAACTAGTTACTAACATATGCAAAGGCTTTTTCATTTGGAACCTGCTCCTCCAAAACTGACAGAGAGGGGGAGAGAGAGAGATGGCTGATCGTTTCTTTCCAAATGAAATGCAAGAATTTGTGGCAGAAACAACAGTCACGGGAGGAACCACCAGAGACTCACTCACCAACCTCCTATCTTTACCTTACAAAACATTTTCTAATAAGCTCAAAACCTCAGCTTTGGACCTCAAAGAAAGAGTACTCTCTTTTCAAAACTCTTTATTGGTTTTGTCAAATTTTTATTGTATTTAGCTTCGTTTCATGCAGAAATCAATAGAATTATGCATATAGAGATTAAGTTTGGTAACTTTACTGTATTTTCTGTTCTGGGTATTTTGAGATTTTTTTGAATTAACCAAATTTTGCTTCTTTTTTCTTTTTTCTTTTTTTCACTGTAAAACTCTGTTTTGGGTTGTTGAATTTTCATTTTTTGCTTCATTTCATGTATTCCCATCAAGTGAATTATGCACATAGGCATTAAAGATGGTGACTTTGCTGTACTTTCTGTTCTGGGTATGTTGAGATTTTTTTAAATAACCAACTATTGCCTCAAGAAATTAAAAAAAAAATTGAATTTTGGGTTTTTTTTTCTAAGTTTAGAACTGGTTTGGTTTTGCCTGTTTCAGGTGGTGAGGGAGACATGGGGGTTGAGCGGAAAGCGGGTGCAAGATTATACTTTGTATACGGGTGCTCTTGGGACAGCTTATTTGGTCTTTAACGCTTACCAAGTTACCAAGAATGAGAATGATCTTAAATTATGCTCTGATATTGTTAAGGCTTGTGATTCTGCTTCTAAAGATTCTGGGTAATCTTTCTTTCTTTATCTCAACAGTAGACAGTCATAGGAATTGCCTCTTTGTAGTTGCATTGGTTTTTGGATTCAGTTTCTGATTACCTGCCATTAGAAATTATCAATTACACTTCATGAAGGGGGGTGTTGAGATTCCCTGGATTTGTAGACATGGTGAAATGATCGATTATATTTCATGATGAATTTAGGTTGTTAGGATATGATGGGTGGTGCATAAACTTCATTGGAGTTTGTACATGAATGCATTTTAGTTTTAAATTCAAGTGATTTAGTTATTTGATATGTGAAATAGCCAAAATAGATGGAAGTTTATCTCAAAGGTTAGTTCTTGAATCCTTTTTGTTGTTGTTAATGATGGTTGAGTGCTCAAACAATCGAATTTGTTGGAATCATTTATCTGATATCTGGTGAATAAGACATTAACTCAGATAGCTTTCTGCTTACTACTCCAAATTGGCAAACCATGTTGGAATGATTGACCAACTCTCAGTCTGAACATAGCTTACATTCCTTAGGAAACTCATGAATTATCTCAACTAGGATTATTATGGTGTACGTAAGATTGCTTAAATTGGTTTTGCTTATGCTCTTGATTACAGTTTCTGTTGTAGCTTACTGCCATTGGAAGTGTATTCAAACTTGACCAGACCTGATATGTGATTCATGGATGCAGTCGTGTTACTTTCATTTGTGGACGGGCTGGTATTTGTGCCCTTGGGGCTGTCATAGCAAAGCATTCTGGTGATGCAAGGTTACAAGATCACTATTTAACAAAATTCAAAGAGGTTGTTCATGGCTTTTCTACTTTTAACTTTTAAGTTGTCACCCTTTCCTTTTTGGTCTTGCCTTTAAATTCTGATATTAGTTTGGCTCTGAGAGCAGATCAGATTTCCTAGTGACTTGCCAAATGAATTATTATATGGGAGAGCAGGGTTCTTGTGGGCCTGTTCATTCTTAAACAAGCATATTGGTAAAGAAACCTTATCTACTATCCGTATGGTAAGACATGTTTTCTCTCCTCTCAGCCTGAATTTTCTTAGTTAAGAGAATTCAATCAATTGTATTTATTTGTGTTTGACCTTGGAAATTTGTGCAGAGAGCAGTTGTAGATGAAATTATTAAGTCTGGTAGACGATTGGCAGGCAAGGGAACATGCCCACTGATGTATGAATGGCATGGAAAGAAGTACTGGGGGGCTGCCCATGGACTGGCAGGAATTATGCATGTTTTGATGGACATGGAATTGAAACCAGATGAGGTGGAGGATGTCAAGGGTACTCTTCGCTACATGATTAAAAGTCGTTACCCCACTGGCAATTACCCATCAAGTGAGGGAAGTGAATCTGACCGTCTTGTACATTGGTGCCACGGTGCTCCTGGGGTTACACTTACCCTTGTAAAAGCAGCTGAGGTACTCCTCATTAGCCTACTTTTTCCTGCAATCTGTTTGGACAAAGATTATGATAGTTTACAGAAATAAAGAATTTCCTCTATCTTCTAAGCAGCTACATGATTTGCATGTTGTTTCCTTTATTATTAGTCATTGCCAAGTAGAGAGTGGCCAGCAAATATGCAATCTCTTGTACTTCAATAGAACTAAACTTTTGTTGTGGCCTTCTGGATTCACATAGCCATGCATCTTGATGGGTACTTGATGCATAATTTTGAAGTGATCTCCAGGAGGAGCAATTAGCCCTCCCCCACCTCCTAAAAAATATCTTATATGGTTGAAAGTGCAAAAATGATTCGTAGTACGTCTAAGGTTCTGCTTCTCATGCAACTGCTTCAAAACTTTATTCAACAACACTAAATTAGTTCTGTAGCCCTGCCATTGAACTTTAGCTTGAGGGATAAAAAATCAGTCATTTTGGCCCTAGTCTCCAACTTAACCAATTAAAGGGGAAAAAAAGAGAACTCATGATTCTTTTTGTACAATATTAACAGGTTTTTGGAGACAAGGAATTTCTGCAAGCAGCTGTGGATGCAGGAGAGGTTGTATGGAAGCGTGGTCTGCTGAAGCGAGTTGGAATCTGTCACGGTATAAGTGGGAATGCCTATGTGTTCCTTTCACTCTATCGACTCACTGGCAAAGTGGAGTACTTATATAGGGCCAAAGCATTTGCTTCCTTCCTGTCTGATAGAGCACAAAAACTTATATCAGAACGAAAGATGCACGGAGGTGATCATCCCTATTCACTCTTTGAAGGTATGGGAGGAATGGCATATCTCTTTCTGGACATGGGCGAACCATCTAAGGCGAGGTTCCCTGCTTATGAAATTTAAGTTGCTTTCAATGTATTTTTTTCCCTGTGGTTCCAGTATGAGGATACTTCCACGTCACTCTTTTGTAAATATATATGAAACGAAATTCGACTTTGACCCAGACTTTAGTATTTTAATTTCCTTCAGCAAATGTCATTGTAGCACTTTTGTTTCCTTCAAGTTGTAGAGACTATGTCTAACTTCCACTGGCTTGGAACTGCTTACCTTTGAGAAGGGCAACCTTGTCTTAATTTGCATAATCTACGAAATATAACGTAGTGGTCGTTGTCGAAGAGAGTCCCTGTTGGCTTGAATCTCTGTTACATCAATGGACATCCTAAATCAAATCCTTTTCAGCTCTGATTTGTCTCACTAATAATGCCACGACCATAGGTTCCACCTTGTAATTCTTGGATTCCTTTTAGAATACATATAACTCGATAAACCAGAAGACAAACTCGAAACTAGATGACACAAGGATGAAGTCCTGTCCAAAGCCTTATTCTGTTTCAAAGCAAATTCAATCCTGAGAAAACTCTATAGGTTTTCGTTGTTTTCTGGCCATCATACAATGTAATTTTCTGCCACGTCCGTGCTTGCAAGTTGAGCATGAAACATACGATTGGCTGAAATTAAAAAAGACTGCCACTTACCTTACTATCCTAGAGTTCCCATCAATTTTTCTCTATCAATAGCAATTTTACTGAAAGAAAATGCTTGCTTGCCAGGTTTCTTAATTCATTAAGTATGTCGGTTTCACTTGCTTGCCCCATGCAGGTTTCCTTATCTCATTATAAATGAAAAAGGGCCAATGTAGCATGAATTCCTCTAGCTACATCCTTTTCTGTTTCCTGAATGATTAAAATATCAGAAATTGTTTCAAAGTTCTTTGAATTATTTGTTCTTTTTGTTCTTCATATTGACAGTGCCAAAGTAATCTTGAGTTTTGCAACCGGGGTGAGTAATTTTATTCTCAACCGTAACTCACAAAGTCACCTACATCTAGAAAAGAAGAATGTCAACAACATCACACCATTTAAATCCAGAGTCTACACTCATGCATGGGCCGGATTTTTGCCAATATCAAAGCTCTCCCGCAAGCAAAGATTAGAGGCAAGCACCTCAAGGCTCTAAGGCCAAGCCTACAAGTTTCTCACTGAGCTCCCATATTTTGCGTGCCTTCTCCTGATCACTCGCTTCAGGAGACAACTGGTTCTCAAATGAAGCCGAATCCTTGTTCCAGCTCCAGTAAACACCAGATTTTGTCAAGCTAGGATCGCTCACAACCTACATTAGAAGCAATAAAATTGTTTTAATGCACACCAGATAAAACAAAGTCGTGCAATACACAAGATCACTATGAGTGTTCACTGTCTTGGTCTTTGTTTTTATACCTGAGCAAGTCTTTTTCCAGATTCCTCTTCAGAGACAAAGCCCTTGGTGATGTACTTCTGGAATAGAGGGAAGAGGATTCTGAACAAGGTAATGTGTTCCCTGAACAAGCCCGTGGTAGCAATGCAACCTGGATACAGGGAAGCAAATGTGATGCCAGTTGCCTCATGGAAGCGCCTATGGAATTCTTGCATGGTGAGCATATTGCAGACTTTGCTGTCCTTGTAGGCCTTGGCACCATCAAAATGTCCACCATCAATCATGGTAGAGCTGTTCAGCCCATTTAGTCCCCCTGCAAGTCCCCTTAGATCCCCAAGGTTGGCCTTCGGAGGTACATTTCCAGCCAAGGTATTCGTGTTTCCTGATTCATTGTACATAAACAACACCAAAATCAATATCGGTATCTTTTATAAATTGCTCATTTTGAATGCATTGGTAGTGAAGTACCTGTAATAGAACCAACAATAATGAGCCGCTTCGATGGATAATCAGATTCCTTCAGATCATCAAGCAACAACCGGGAAAGAAGGAAGTGACCAAGATGGTTAGTTCCCACACTAAGCTCAAATCCTTCAGCAGTAAATGAGGGTTCCCTAGCAGTTGGCTGGTAAACAGCAGCATTGCAAACAAGAACATCAAGAGGCCTGCCTGATCGCTTGTAACTGTCCACAAATTGGCGGACACTGTCAAGCGAGGCAAGATCTAAGTGCATAATTGTGTAGTTTTCTTTAGACATGCCAGCAGATTTTGCAGCTCTCTCAGCCTTGAGAAAGTCCCTGCAGGCCATGATAATATGCCATTTCCCAGTTTCAGCCAGGGCCTTAGCTGTGGCTAAACCCAATCCAGAGGAGGCACCAGTGATGATAACACTACCCTTTCTTAGAGTTTTCTTTCCATCCATTGCAGATCTGCTGATTGCTGGAGTAGCGGTAGCTGTAGACTGGGCCCTCACTGCTCCAGTTCTTTGGTTGAATTCCCTCTACGATGGAAAAACAAAAGCTTCAATTACAGGCAAAAGACAGCAATATTTTTCAATTTAAAGAACAAAAACAGCAAAACAATGCAAAGATAT